TACTASTAGTACTACCACTACTACTAGCTAGTAGTAGYAGTTCAAATAGTTTTCTGTGAAGTATCGTGAATAGATATTGAACGTACTATGATATACTCAACGGATTTATTTTTGGCGAAAACTACGTATCAATTAAGCTTTCTAGCATTTCAGCGAAAATTCCCACCACTACTGATAGTAATGAACCGCGCAACTACGAGTACTTACGAAGTACAGTACTSTACYACAGTATTTCTACAACTCCGATGCGTCATTTCTACCGGTATACTCGGTCACTTTACACGGAAGCATGGAGGGGCGTTGAACGTTATWTCCCAGCGTACAGGACACTGAAAGACCCACGGTTCTGATCGCACGGTGTTAWCGGTTACAGTATCGTACGGTACAATTAGGACAGTTAGAAGTGGACTCTTTTCGATTCCTTCSARAACACCTTGGCTTCACAACTTGGTGGTCACAGGCAACCCAAATCTCACAAAGAGAACCACTGTTTCAACACTTTAAGAACAACAACAAGAAGCACAGTATTGTAAWATGGGATCAGACAATCGAATSTTACAAACCTGCCGTGCCCGCAGCAAATCATTGTGAGTGCACTTCGGTTSGCACGACSTATTGCCTGCACGATACCGTGCTCGGGGTTCKCTAGAATRGAATGGAACCATTCCAGAGCTACCGRGTAGCTTTTGCGAAGTCCCCAAACACAAATTTCTTGCCCTGTCCCAATTGGCGTTCTCGTCATTTCTCTCTCTAACTTTTTTGTATTCTTTCATTCGTTCTTGCGTCATTGCTTTCCCTTTGATTGATTCTGCCTTTTCGTTCGAAACACCGCCGCTGTTTGTGTTCCGTCCATGGGCGCCGCATTGCCAAATGCCATTTTTTCTTTGTATTCGTTGTGTACTCTACTTGTGACCGAATCCAATGATTGCATCTCCTGCTACCAAAAACGACGTTCTTGTCTGATTCCATTTGTCATCAGCTTGACCCCTACCCGCATTGGCTTGATTGCTGCATTAGCGGTTGTGTTTGTGGTCTTTGCGTCATTGATGGGTACTAAAAACAGAGATTCAGAGCTCCGGGGAGGCCAGGCTGCTATGGAAAGGGCCCAAAACATGGACCATTACAACGACTACAACTGGATCGAGCTGCCTACCGAAGTACAAGAGGCCGCAACGACTTTGGGCTACAATCAAAATACGTGGGATGACTGGGACGATCCAGAACTTTTTGAGGGAGAATGGTCGGAGTTAACACACAAAGAAAAATCTGCGGCACAGGTTCTTGGATACAGCGAAGAAATCTGGTGTATGGAATACGAKGGTATTTACTCCTCAGGCACTAGTTYTCCGTCCCAAGACAATAGTAGTGGAGGCTCTGATGAAGCCTCGTCTGATGCCTCTACTGATGCGACGGAAAACTCGAGCGCGCAAAAGAACGACGCGTAAGCCAAGATTTGTATTCGATGKGTGCAATTCGTGCAAACGTGTAGAAGTAGCATTWGGCAACCGCCAATTGAAAAGAAAAAGGGCAACTGCACACATACTTGGTGGCTTCTCGATCAAAACTAAAGAATGTTTGGTAACTTCGCGACATCGCTGTTGCCGGCAAAAAATTAAATACACAGTATGGGATGGAATGAAGTTACTCCACGAACGAATCGCATTTTAGACTGAAAAACTAATTGCAAAAATATTAAAAGTGAACACGAAAATCAAACGCATATTGGAAAAACGGCCTCAAAATCATAGAAGTAATCTTACCAATCTTATCATCACAACTGCTCACGAAAGGGCTGGGTTTGGACTCCCAGACCTTTCGTATAAATGATTGGTCCTGCAAAAATTTTATTCATATTTTGATCTCAATGAACTTGTTTATGTTCAGCGCTCWGCGTTTTTCCTGTTCATTTTCGTCGGATRCAAGTTGTGTTACATAMTTTGTCGTAGATAATCAATATGAGGTTTGTTCCAGCTGCATCAATAATACCAAACAACCATGAAACATGTTGCAAGCTCGATGTGAAGCTACCTTATTTGATCAACGAAAAACGGTCAATTTTWTTTTYAAAATTCATCTTTTTAGTTAGTTATTATCATGTGCTAAAAAATTACAGTAGCTTGTGGATTCTACACAGYTGGTAGAATAGTTCCGACGTTTCAAAAAGTTTCCCATCATCATATTTCTTTCATACCCGGAAGGATTATACGAATTGAGAGAAATTTTGGAAAGATTAAACAACGGTCGGAAGGTCTGCTTTGATAAGCAAGATATTCTTGGTTCTCGCATCGCCCCTTGGTACAAGATGCGCAAATGCAATGATCGACACGAACACGATTGCATTTGCAAGTGAAAGCTGGTGTTTGCATGTTCTTTCCTTAATTGGCGGCCTTGAATCCGAGTCCATTGGCCTCACCGTATTTCTCCATGAATCGCATGAATCGGTCCCATGCTTCAGGAGAGTTCATGACATAAGTAGATTCGATAGATTGAGGCTTTCCGTTGGAAAACCTAGCGTTGACGTCGGTTGTGGAAATTTCACCCTCGTCGTCAATCATGAACATTCCAGTGACCTCACCCTCTGAAGTGGTACTGGCATCGAAGACATTGGGGGCATCGAAGAAGAAGGTGGCAACTCCACTCGATCCATCCTTGGCACGCGTTAGTTTGACATCAGGGACGCACTTCTCGTCAAAMCCCTTGATGAATTGGATGGATCCGTTCAGCTGAGAACTGCTGACAGCTTGTCTGGYGGCAGGCACAGGCGCAAATGCACTGGTGAGAGATGCTGTGGCGGCAAGAACAAAGGCTGTTGTGGAGAAAGATTTCATTTTGGAAGGTTTGAAGCTTTATTATTATTTGYCGTGAGATTTAAATTTTGTGTGYTTTATAAGGAGSTKAGAACGTCCTGATGAAAGACGAGATGCAGTAATAGTTGTGACTCGAAGGTGTGTTCGAATGATAGCTGAGTTGTTGTTGACCACTCATACTTCAGTTTAATTTGCACTTCGTATCGGTACCACTCTGTCCGTATTGCAGGCATCGTACCTCGTGACTTMACGGCAGTAAGCTACGGTACGGCAAYCGGCAACGGTCTAAACGATGATTTCAATGATCGTGTCGATGACGAATGTTCGTGACGATGCGTGATGACTACAAAGATACCATACTGTAAACAGGTAGCGCCCTTGTASGTACGGTAGTGTAGTTTAGTACCAGGCAACGGTGAAACGATTGTGCAGATGGATACGAGTACCGTGGTGAGAGACACGTGATTTTGAATGCATGCGCTTGTTCACTCTTTGTTTCTTCTGAATTCGAGCACTGACGTTTTCGTCGTAGAGTTGGCGCATAAGAAACATTTAAAACATTAGAGTTGRGGTTAAACTAAAAAATTACTTCGTACGAAGTACAGTAGTACATTGTACAGTTCGTACGGTACTTCAATGAAATACGGTGTGAATAACATTTCAAACGACAGATAACTCGTACCAAACGAAACACAGGAACTTCAGTTTTCGTATGTTAGTTCGATCTGATTGTGAACCAGGCAGGTTTGGAGATCACCGTACATAAGTGTTCTTGAGTTTCACCAAATACCATATCGTACAGAACGTGCTCTTTCTTTTGAGCGATTGATTTTTTGAATGATCACACATAGTAATAATCGGACGTGTTGTTGAGCAGATCTCTGTCATCGATGTCAATCAGCAAAAAAGAATTCGTTTGATTTCCAAACAAAGAGTAATTCTAGCTATTATCATGCATATCTATATGGTGGATACTCTTYGCATAGGAAGTTCAAAAATAATCTCATATTCTTTAGTCACTATCCGATGCACATGACGAAACTTATATGTAATTTCATTTAGATTCATTCATGTTGTTCCTATCACGACTTGGTGGAAAACAAGTCGTACCTATTGAAGTGCGAAAAGGTTCTTTTGAATGCGTRATCAGTTGTCTACTTCGTGAATTTCAAATTTAAATTCTTCATCATTGATATCAACTTTYATGGCAGATGGGTAATTGTGAAGTGCCGTATTCGAAAATACAGTAATGAGTGAATCTGAATCAAAATGATATATATTTTTGTGCATAAGAGATCGCATTTAGATTGTCCGATCAGACTTTTTACGTCGGAGTGAATGTGACACATGAAAAAATATGTGAGGCACTACAACCAGCCATGCTTATCTAMGAAAATTTGGTCGCTTTTATTTAGCAGAGCTTTTCGCCAGATCGCCCACGATTCGACGAAATAATCGGATYTGTGAAGAGCTAACCGATACTTGAACGATGGTTCAGGTGCATCTGATGTCGAAATCAAATAATTCGATCTGTATCMACTTACTAAGCTACAGTAGKTCGTATGAAGCTGYATTTGGGYGTCTTCGGATCTTCCTTGAAGTATAAGGGATAATTATTAGAAAATAGAAAGCATTCATTCGAGTTGAAAGTAAACATAATCCATCTTTGTTCGAGCCTCTAAGGAAAGTTATCGACATAATCATGTTGGTCAAAACGAAGGCAATGTCCTTGTCGTCTTTTTCTCTATTGCTTTTGGCTTTATATGCTACTGTTCTTCCTATCGCCGCTGATTCTGATGCCCGTAGACTCGATCAWTTGGAACGGCGTATCAAGTCTCTTGAAAAGCTAGTTGATACCCAAAATGTGGCTATAGAGGGCCTGTTGCGGCGCGGCCTCGAAACAAGCGATGACGGATGCCTTCCAAAACGAAACGAACAGAATGTATGTGTCTTCGAAAAGGGTGTCGAGTTCTCGTACCGGAATTCAGATCTTGTCTTTGAAAGCTCTACAGTTAGATTTACAGGGCCGATTCAAGATCTCAACGCTATAGGCAAAACTGGAATGACAAACCAGACAACCTATGCTTTTTCCTCGCAGGTCATCTTCGATTCAACCGATGTCCGCGTCGAAAATTCCAATGTTACTTTTACAGCCGAGCACGATTATAAGGCATTCCAAAAAAATGAGACTCAACTTCGYCAGCACTATGGATTCATTGTCATGAACAACACCGAAATGGCATTGAATAGTTCTCGACTCGTCGTCACAGGACCCGATCCTAGATCGGTGAATCAGTCGTTGTACGACGATCTGAGCTATAGCAATTTGTTTTCTTCCATTGGATTCTCATACAGYAATATCACAGTCACAGACTCAAACGTGGCCTTCACSAAAAACACACCTTCTGAAAYAGCTGACTCCACGATCGTCTTTAATCATTCCAAGATTCTKTATAACCATTCTGAGGTGAAAATGCATGCTTCCAAAACTAGTGCCTCTGATTCTTCAATCTCCTACGGAAAAGATACATATGTCCAATGGTTCGGAAGCTCCTCAGCGGCCTACTTTACCGATGGCGCTGAATTGTCGGTAGAAGATTCAAAYGTTCGGTTAGACCAAACAACTTTGGAATTGACAGGAAACAATGGAAAACTTGTATCTCGGGTAGATACCGATATCCGCGGACCAGATAGCGGAGATCCCATTTACTTTACTGTCTCTCGGAAAGTGGACGTGAGTTATGAACAGTATCCAACAATGAGAATCCAGTCTGACGTGAAAGTTTCTGACGACAGTGACGTCACCTTTGATAGTTCTAGCACGCTAAAGATTAACGGAAAACTCGAATCKAACGACGACACAAGATTCCGTGGTCAAATTTCGCTAGACGATGTACTCGTTAACGTCGAACGTGACCTGATSATCGACGGGAGAAATGGATATGAGAATGCCAATATTGACTTCCGSAACGGAGTAGATATCCGAATATATAACGATTTGGTTGTGGAAAAGGATCTGGAGGTTTTGGGACACGCGAACTTGGATAGCTTGGATGTCTTGGACGAGGCAACTGTTGGCGGGCGCCTCCGTTGCTATAAAGGAGCAACTATTTCGGGAGACAGCAACGCAAGCAGCGACAGTATTACTTCTTCTTTTTCTTCGCAATTRTTAAAGGTGGAAGGTAGTGCTTTGATCCAAAGGGATTTGGAAGTAGACGGAACRCTGACTGCAGAATCACAAGACTTCGTTGGTGACGTAGTSATTTCGGGCAATGCTAGAGTAAACAGTTTAACGGTGGACTCAACCGCAACAGTAAGTGGGACCACCACTGTTGGAACCATCAAAGCCACTAGCTCCGGATACATTAATGGGCAACTTACGGCGGGAACAATCAAAGCGGAAAATGACATCTTCTTCSAAAATCTAGATATATCTGGCAAGGCGACTGTGAATACTCTCGATGTATCTGGAGATGCTTCCGTCGGAGGAAAACTTTCCGCAGTGAAGTCGACTTCGTATTTTCAAGAAATAGCTGTTACAAAAAACGCTGTTGTTGGTGGGTTCATCGAATCTACTAACTCCACCGTAAGGAAATTCTCTGTGGTGTCTGGGAATGCCACAGTAGTTGGTAATCTAGAGGTTGGAGGWACTTTCAAACCCCAAAATTCCCAGTTCGAGAACATCGTAGTTACCGGTGTCGCTGATGTAGGATCTTTGAAAACGTCTGGATCTGCCTCCATCGGAGGAACAGCAACAGTRCAGTCGTTGACCGTGRATTCAAATGTTGACGTTGGCGGCAATTTGAATMTCGGTGGCACTCTTTCGGACGTGGCATTTTACAATCTTAGCATACTTGGAACCGCATCGATTGGTACTCTCTCGGTATCATCCTCCGCTTCAATTGGTGGTACTACTACCCTCGAAACGCTGAGCGTTGGTGCTGACGYCGATGTGATTGGCACTTTGAGTGTCAGTGGAAAGTTTGCACCAGAAGATACTGARTTCAACGACATATCCGTGCTTGGAACTGCCACGGTTACTTCCCTTTCAGCGGAATCCGCTTTGATCAGCAACGCTGCTACAATCCAGACTTTGACGGTTGGCGCTGATGCCGATGTTGCAGGTAGCTTAAGCGTTGGGGGTRCGTTCACACCATCCGAATCAGAGTTCCAAGATATTACTATTTCCGGAACTGCCACTGTTGGTACCTTGTCGGCAACTTCGGCCTCGATTAGCGACAGTGCTTCAATAAACAGGTTGACCGTCGGATCCGATGCCGATATTTCGGGAGCGCTWTCGATCGGTGGAATTTTTGCCTCRAACACAATTGAATGCACAGACATTACTGCTACTGGTTTTGCCAGTATTAACTCGCTTCAGGTAAACAATGCTTCTATCGAAGATGCTACCGCGGCGAACCTCAACGTTGGATTGAATGCTGAAATCTCGGGCGATCTAACCGTCKTAGGGACAATTATCAATTCAGCTTAGATTTATTTGTYATYAAAAAAGCATACTTGAGCTTCTAMCAKAAACGTCATCCCAGAGTGACTTTCTCGAGAAGGATGAAATATTAGTACTTTCTTTACTCATTCAATRAACGTACACCTYATGATCGGTTAGCACGARTACTGATTTATGTACAAAAAATCACAATTTCCCATCTATCTCACAATCATCCTGGCCTTCAGATASAGTAAAAAACGCTAGTCGTAAGGGGAAACAATTTGCTTTTTAGCTACAGTATGGMTTGTGAAAGAACTGGGAACGTTCTCTTCTCGTGAAAACTTCAGTTCAATTGATGAAGACGCACGATTGGTTCTCGAGGGATCAGTTTGCAAATTTGGGGGAGTAGATAATCTAATCCCCCGATACTTCTATTTCTACAGTGCGGTACAATACTGGGTCTGAGATCCCATGWCATGATCATCATCAACGAATGCCAAAGCACAATTCCATACGAAACTAGCGCTGAGACGCTTCATGACGATACAGAAGTGCGCTACATTCTATAACAAGCCGAATCATCCAAGTAGCGAAGTCCCGTTCATTCCAAATTCTATTAGGTACACCGTGACAACTAGGTAGACAACAAAATATGTCACCGAACAAAGTCGATTACCATTCGAGGTCGTGGTCGTGGTCTGCTCTCTCAACTGAGGTGCTGCTGCTATGTCTGCTTCTGCAACAAGTGACTCTGTGCCGTTCGTGGGATCTTTACTCTGGGATCAAATTTTGTCGTCGAAAAGTCATAACCAATGCATTGGGTGGCCACAACGATGCACAACGCCAAACATCGATTTTTCCGCGAGAACAACAACACCGGCACCGGCACCAAGAAGGAGAAACAATCCAAAACAACAGTAGGCGCCGTATTTTGTTCGATTCTATGCGGGTRGCGGCGGTCTTTCTAGCACCAACGCTAGCTTGGCAGTTACCACGGGCTGCCTATGCATCTGACGGTGACGGAACGGGGGGCATTGTCATAGTTCGACTCGACTCTCCGAAGGATTCTCTAGGTGTCGAGATTTACGACACAACCCTCCGTGGAACGAATGTCGTTGCGATTCGTCGCATCGTAGTGCCCAACAAGAACAACCGGTTTCTAAGGGAAGGAATGATTCTGCGAACGAAAGAAAGTGGTGGGAGCAACAGCGACTATACATCGAGGGAACTAGTCGAAAGACTCCGATCGGGGCCCTATCCACTAGAAATCGGCTTTCAGAATTTAGCGGCTGGTGGAGATGCCATTTCTGATCTCGGAACAAGCATCGTGACCCCAAAGGATGCCCTGGATCTGGCTCAAAAGACTGAAACCCCAAGCGCTGGTGGAAACAGCGGCAAAGCCCGAGGGGTGGAATACAGCATCACGACGACGCAACAAAAACCTCCCAGCGAATGCGCTATCAAGTCCCGACGGAACGACGTGCTGGAAATCGAGTACGAGGCATCCTATGTTGCCGACGAAAACGCCAAAAAAGTGATCTACGATGCATCGGCCTTTCGTGGCACAGGCAACCGTCCCTACCAGATGGTCCTGGGCAGCGGGGACATGATCCCCGGCGTTGATCAGGGCCTGTACGATATGTGTCCGGGGGAACAACGGGTGCTGAAAATACCCCCGGTTCTGGGCCACGGGCCCAACTCGAGAAGACTCTATCGGATTCCRGACAAGTACGTCAATCTGGAATGGAAGGTTGGGCTCGTTACGATCGACTCGACCATACGCGAAGACAACAACGTGGTGTCGAGAGACGAACGCGAATCGCGTTTTGCTTATTGAGGTACCAAGAAGATGAATTAAAAGAGCATCACTTTAGATCTAAATCCGAGACAAATTTATGATCACTAGGATGTAGTTTAGAGGAACGGAAAAACAGACAATGRATGAGATTGGARAATAATCCATTATTCGGGTCCTCGAAACAGATGATACGTGGTTCGACTCTTCGCTCCAATCTCTCTCCCGCCCTTCCAACCTTGGCATTACACTCATTCACCAAGTTGCTCTGATATCAGGAGTTGACGACCTCGTACGGGACAGGAGTACCCAAAATCCGAGAATATCATGCTATTATGCTACTTCGGTACTACATACCGATGGATCGTACCCAATTAGAATATTCTCTCTCGAGAGTTGATACAGAATGCAGACGTACCGTACCATAACGTACCGATGGAAAATAATATTCCTAAAGCACCACTCATTACGTCTACGTATGGCCGTTAAGGAAGTACGTACGGTACGAAAGTCCAAAATCAAAAAATGATTTCACCGCCATCTTTTCCTTGAGTTTGGTAGAAACTTGAACTTGACCGAAGGTACGAGTTATTCGTAGTACGCACATTTACGATTGTGAGGGAATAACACGTAAATCACGAGTAGATAGTGAGTGACAGCAGTAAGCTCATCCACTCACTCTTTATTGTAAACCACGTATTATCGTACACTAAAGAGCATACCTACATTTCGCAGGTTATGAGCAACAACAAACATACCTCAGCTCATCACCATCATCAGAACTAACAACCATTTCAATAGATTGATTTTCTATCCCTTTGACCACGAGCGCCGCTCGAATCAGGCACTTCCAAACCAAAGACATCCAACCCTCCGGCCGAATCTCCAAAAATTCCCGGAAGAGAACCCAGTATAAAATCATGTAGTGACCTACGGTACAAAATTCTCAGAACACTGGTGTCAACAGAACGACACCAGTACACTCAACAACAGCAATCACCATGGCACCGACAAAGAAAAAGTCAATAACACATGGGGGACCAACACCACCAAGCAGAAGTAGCACCAGGAAACCTAAACCAAAGACACCGGAAATCGGCAAATACCTCATACGATCACCACCTTCCAGGAAACACACAACGACGCCCACGAAACTCCAATTCATCCCATACGATGGAACGATACAGCGGGAACTCCGAGCCCTGGAACGGGTGTTCCCTCCCCAATCAACACCAGAAATCTATGACCGAGACCTATTTGCCTTTAAACCCAAATACCCACCATCACCAACGAGCTACATGGCTCATCTCACTATTGTTCATACTAAAGAACTCAATAGCACCGACAAACTAACAGCCCTCGGGGACAACCTTCAGGAACTCCTCCATCGGAATCACTTCAAAATCATAGATAAAGACACACGATACCACTACAGTGTTGCCTTCATTGAATACATGAATAAAGTACTCCCTCCCACTAGGGACACGCCACCGGAAGCAGTTCCCCCCCGAAGACAATCTAAGCCTCCACCACACTTGGCCAATAGCCCGGACCCTCCTTCCCGAGAGGACCTCCAAAAACAGCTTATAAATAACTCTCCGCAGCAAGAGACAACAAGCGACAGCGAATCGTCGATAAGCTCAATGGACATCCCTCCCTCAGATCTGATTAAACAATTTGCACGGGAACATGACCTGGAACAACGGACCTCAACGGAGCAAACTCAACAAGCAGGATCCCCAACTCCAGACCAGTTCCCCCTACAAAATGCACCAGAGGAAACTGAGGATACAAGCCTCGACGATAGGATCACAGAGTATGAAAAACAATATGAGACTATTGACAATGAAATAAGTTCCATTCGAGATAGCTTGGATCCTCCCAATGAACCCGGTAATAACAAAACAATGGCAGACCAACTCAAAGCAAACGATGATAAGTGGACAAAGCGACTTACGATGATAGACAAACAGATCCTACAGCTCCAGGAAGGATATGAAAGAGTCATCCAATCCACCGCAGCTGAACTCGCCACAACTAAAGAGGTCCTCACCACCACTAAAGCCGAACTGAATACTGCAACCACAGAGCTTCAAACAGCTCTCCAAACGGTTCATACCCTGAAAACTCAACTACAATCTCAAACAACAGAGATCAGAGGAGCAATCAACATCAACACGAATCTTCAGAATAACTTAAATGCAGCAGCCACGACGACATGGGCTCTGGACCAACGAACCAGTAAAGCAAACTCAGTCCTTGCCTCAATCAAAAACGAGACCATCCACCTCAGACACCTTCGAGATGAAGCAAGCAGCATCACCACCAAAACACCCACAATCATTACCGCAGAACTCAAGGAACAACTCAACAAAATCGTGGATCAGAGTGCAGCCAACCTGAAGGAAAAGACCAAACAGATTGAACTCCAGGTTACCACAGCAGTCCTAGAACAAACACGAATAATGGAATCAACACTGGAGTCAACAATACAGGATATTATTCACGACAAACTGGAACACAAAGCCCACATAGTTCAAAGCCTAAGGGATACAGTAATCTCTCAAGCCAAACGTGAGATTGTATCCCAAGCAACTGAGACAATTAAGGAGGTTAACAATGACCTCACAAAAACAAAGAATAACCTCAAGCAAATCTGCAACAACCACTTGGCTAAACTCACATCACATAAACAGGATATAACACATGAAATGGACCAATCCGCTTCTGCAGCACAGGAAAACATCGCCATCACGAAACACATAGCTGAAGCTGATATCACCCGCTCCGTTAAGGAACATCTTGAAACAGATCCATCAGTGGAAGACACCATCACCACTCAAATCAACTCATCCATACGATCATTGGTAGAATCCACAGACTTCAAAACAGACATCGATACAACTATCCATACATATGTAACCCAATCACCAACCCTAAAGGACCTTATTCAACACCAAGTACACGACGCAATTATTAACAACAGAACACAACAAGACGAAAAACAAAATAAAAATCAACACATTAGTACCGACAAACATCAAAATCCCATCAAATCAACCACTAGAATCCCCTCACCTTTCGACACCAGAGGGGACAGCGATAGAAACTTCGATGTCTATACAGACAGAAAACACCAGATATGGGATGAAAAGTCCATCCACTATCACAATCATCGAATCAGCAAAGCAATCCATGCGATGGATTTCAAGGACATCAATCATAACCTAATCCCTACCACCAATCGCTACCTCACATCAGCTGAATTCACAGCCTTTTATAATGAACTCTACGGCATGATGCAATTGGAAAGCCTCCCACTGGTTCCCCTTGACCAACTTCCTGAAATTGAAACATGTATACCTCCAGAACACAAAGAGACGACAGAAAATATCAGTAAAATTGGAGCATACATATATCGAAGAATATCGGGACTCCTTCCCCCCAGCCACACCCTCCTCCGGGGTCTCATATCCCCATACTCACAAAACAGTAGGGGCTATGAAGCCTTGTATGCACTGGCACGCCACTCCCTTGACTACTTGAAACCCACACAGAACGGTTGGGGACCAGAGTGGACAACCACCGATGATCCTGGCACATATGTCGGTAAACTACAGGATCACGTACGAACCAGCCGCTTGAGCAGGAACCATCAATACACGGAGTTTGAAGAAAGTCACGATTTAGTATACCAAGCCATGACACACTTCAACTACACGGCAGGATGCTGTCTCCTTGTCCAATTGGACAACCATAGGAGGCTCACACCAAATTTTCGGCACAAACCAGTCCCCGAACATCTAAAGCTCACTGCACTTACCAACTTTATCCTTGATCATCCGAACATCACACCAATAGCTCACCAACAGTCTCCAACAATTGTTAACAAGCTGGACGCAACAAAACGCACGAAGTTTGAATACAAGAACAAAGTACAGTGTGAATGCTGTAAAACATATGGACACAATGTAGGGGACCAAATTTGTCGATTTGGAGCACAACTCCACTATGCACAGCAATTTGCGTCAACAAAACCGACGGACTTCAAGATGAATGCGATAAAACACAACAACATGCACACCAAGAAAGTTGTGAACCACTTTGAAAGCACATTGAAGGACAGACACATCACAGAAGAAGAACATGAACGAAAGAGAGAAGAACTTGCTCAACTGTTTGCAACGGTCACGACTGATGAATAGGATACACGCCGTGTTCCTAGCGGAGCTCGGCCTTCTAAACATAACCATGACCCTCCAGCAACACTCGACCATGAATTTGGATCACTCAGGTTGAACATATGAGGACACCCATATCCCCGCAGTATACCACACGACAACAATATCTTTGCCCACGATGAGTTGAATCCCACTAAAGCGTGCAAATATACTCTACAGTCGGTACTCACTAAAACCCAATGCATTACATGCAATAAGTTGGATCATACAGACACGTATAAATCGGAATATAAAACAAATGGGAATGACCTTACTCCATTTTGTTTTTACGCCGACTCACTTGCGTCAGAATATGATACTGGACTCCCCTCTATACGCATGACACACCCCACACTTAGAAAGAACATGCGTAAACGTATTATGATCGCGACCAAATCCAGAGACGATACATCGGCCCATGCACCACAAGCTGACTCGGGGGCTAACATGTCTGCCACGAATCAACTAAAACTCCTACATCAATATACACCATATGACTCACCACTACCAGTTGGGGTATTCTCTGCTGACGCTACTCCGGACACTACGTTATATGCATACGGAGAGGGCCATATACAAATAATATCAGACCAAGGGAACATCATGCGTTGGAAGACACTATATACGCCACAGTCAACAGGCACCATCATTTCCCCTGAGCACTACCGGGAATCACGTAATTTCTACGCATTCCTACAGACAGGACAAGCAAACAGCAAAGGAACAGTTAGTTTCATAAACAAGCTTAACCAAACGATTGAATCGATACAGACAGTAAGCCTCAACAATGGTCTTTGGTACACCACAAACAACATCCTAATGGTAAACGACATGGAAAACACGCACATCGTGAGAGAATTACAAAAGTACAGGACAAAAGCGTCCGGAAGAAAACAGGTAAATAAAGTATCTGAGACCAATAACGACTGCTCTCGCACATGGTCCTCCGGCCTCTCCAATGCCCTAAAGCGTCTGGAGCTCTGGCACCAACGATATGGTCACATCTCACCCATGACGTTAGTCAAAACACAGAAAGTGGTAGACGGCATGCCGCCATTACCCACGTCCACACCCTATTTTAAATGTCCCTTTTGTGAGAAAAGTAAAATGACGAAATACTCGGGCAAACGCCGCCCACCCAAAGAAAAGTTCATACCAATGCAATCCCTACACATGGACCTGTCATTTGTAAGCGGCCCTCCCAACCTTAAGGGTATCCTAAACAACAATGATAAACCCCTCCCCACCCTCAAGAAAAGCAGACAAGGCCACATTGGGTTTCTCACCATTATCGATGCCGCCACCAGAGCTCTGTGGACCTTTCCTCTCAAGACTAAAGAACCTCCTCTCAAAATCGTTGAACAGTTCCTCTCCAAACACGGAATTCACACCACAGATCCAAGAAAAGCCATTATCACCACTACAAAGGATGGCTACCTAGCACGGTCACGAGCATTCCAACATACTGCTAGAGAACACTCATACGAAGTAACGCCAGAGGACAAGGAATACTTCCCATCTCTCCTCCCCCAACACCTAGACTGTACCATCATGACTGATGGAGGCGGTGAACTGGCTAATTCAACCAACTTCCGAAAGACAGCCACTCACCATGGCTACAGTGTTATCACAACAGCAGCGGACGCATCCTCCCAGAATGGATTAGCAGAAAGACCACACAGAACCCTCAAGGAACGCATTCGTTGCCTCCTATATGCAGCTGGCCTAGGAACTGAATACTGGACCGACGCCCTCCTACATGCAACATGGCTATATAACCGCACATACCACAGTGCTATCAACATGACTCCAATGCAATTGTACACCGGCAAAGTACCCCTAGTCGACAACTTAATTACATTTGGAGCCAAAATAACAGCCAAACGACCAGGAACAAGACCAACAACAACACACCCATGGGCCTATGATGGCATCTTCCTGGGCTATGGACCCACGACAGACAACATAAAATACTTCGATATCCACACAGGAACTGACAAGATTGCAAGGCATGACTCTAAGGATGAACTGCAATATGGAGACACACCGGACACACGATCCCCAGCTGCATCACACCTCCTCGAAACATTCACTGAAGGAGATCACAGGAATCACACTACTAAGTCAAACCCCGAACAAGTTCAAAATTCAAGGACCCAAGACAACGCGATCCGGAGAACATTGTTCGCGAAATACTCCAGGATTCACCACTACCATATACAGCAGCAGCAGCAAAAATGGTAGTGATCAATCGGTCCAAATTTGAACGCCCTGATATATCAGCACTAGTCCCGGAACTGGAGACACTCGATATATCCACCAACATGTATACAAAGGAGACATCCCACACACTTCCCCTCAAGAACACCAACAGCTTTCACCCCACCATGGGACTGATTGTGAGCAGCCATCCTGATATCACCAATGCAGTTGAATTATCTGCTATTCAACCCGGTACAATCGCACACACCCGAATCAGAGGCTGGAAACGGCGACTGAGAGGCACCATTATCACTACTGTGGATGACAAAACAATCAGTAACCGACAGGATATCATTGATGCCATTCAACATGCAAAACGGACACATCGGACAGCAATCAAATTTACATTTGGATCGCTCACTGGATTCGCACTGAGTGGGGAGGGAGTCCCCACACTTCAAGCAGACCAACTGAATGTAATTGCACACCATCTCCACTCCCTAAACTACAAGCAAGACTTGTGGCAAAACAAACAAGATTGGCCACAACCAATTGATTCCCCTGCAACAACAGCCACTCAGATCCAAATATCGAAACTTACAAGGAGAAAACTCATGCAAACACCGAAATGGGATGGGTTCCTACGATCCGAATGGAAACAACTGAACAGGTACCACAAAGTCGGTATGTTTGGAGAACCAGTGGAAGCCCAACCAAATATGACCATTCTTCCATGGGTGTGGACCTATATTGAAAAAGAGAACCCACTAACAGGTGTCGATGAACCCAAATCAAGGGGCACATGCAATGGTGGCAAAAGATATGGAAAAGCTGTCACCCTCGCTGAGACATATGCAGCGTGTGTGGAACAACCAATTCATCGGCTCACTTGGGCTCTTTCCGCAGCACTTAACCTCATCTGTGTGGGCTATGATGTCGGAAATGCATTTGCGGAAGCCCCACCCCCTCAATCACCGTTCTATATGAAGGTTGATGAGCCCTTTCAACAATGGTGGACTGAATGCCTACAGAAAGACCCCATTCACCCCAATCAAGTCATCCCCATCCAAAAGGCACTACAGGGACACCCCGAAGCCCCTCGACTATGGGACAAATACATATCTGGCATACTAACAAATGATTTGGGCTTTACATCAACAACACATGAGCCTTGCCTATATTACAAACACGACAATACCGGCCTCACACTAATCCTACGACAAGTGGATGATTTCCTCATAGCTAATGCCAATGCAACTGTATGCGATACAATCCGGCAACAGATCCAAGACAGAATGACGAACCCTCTTAATATACTTGGAACAATCCGAAAATTCAATGGCATACATGTGAACCAAACGAGACATTATAACCATCTTCACTGTGGCACATATATTGAAAAGATCGCAGAACACCATGGATGGAATCTCCAAAACACTAAAAACCACACTCGTAAACGGCCCACGCCAATGAATGAAAATGCAGCATATCAACGCAAAATACAGCTAACAGAAGGACCGACGAATCCTGTGGAAGCTCAAAAACTACAGCAAACACTAGGCTTCAACTACAGACAGTGTATAGGGGAACTGATATATGCCCTCACAATTTGCCGAGTGGATATCTCCATTGCAGTTATCACACTTAGCCAACACTCGCACGCCCCTGCTAAAATCCACTATGAAGCAATTAAACACCTATTCCACTATCTATTACACACCAAAGATGAAGGACTAACCTACTGGCACCCGGAGCCACGAATAGACCTTCCGGACATGCCACTCCCCACACCCTATACTGATCCTCACACCTTAACCAAATTCTATCAATCCTCGAACCCACTGCAAATACATGGTTCTTGTGACACAACTTGGGCATCAGACAGATTACAACGGAGAAGTATGGGAGGAATCATCATGATGATGGCAGGCGCTGCAGTGTATTATAGGACAAGGCTACAGCCCACTATAGCTCAAAGCTCCACTGAAGCAGAGTTCACGAACATGGCAGATGCTGGCAAAGCAGCACTCTATTTACGATGGATTATGGAAGAACTCAGCATTCCACAAACAAAACCAACCCCTATCATAGCAGACAACCATGGTGCTGTTAGAATGGCAAATGCCCACCAACCCACTAGACGTACGAGACATGTTGAAATGAAACACTTTGTTATCCTCCAATGGACTGATGATGAACACATTAACTTTATTGAAACACGATCTGATGAGAATTACAGTGACTCACTGAGCAAACCAACTGGAAGAACAAAATTCCTTGAACACTCTGATATTTTCATGGGTCGACTAAGACCAGACTATACATACTCTCCCTTGTTAACCACCCAACAGGACCCATTTGTTGAGGATAAAGCCACTATATCARCAGCAACAACYCCARCAAAGAAAGAGGTTAACACCATGACAACCTGCTCCACTTGCAGGAATCTAGACCCAATTCAAAATCTACTACGACAGAGTAATTTTGAGTCGTATGAGTCCCTAGATTCTGCAAGTGCGGGGTGGTGTGAGGGAATAACACGTAAATCACGAGTAGATAGTGAGTGACAGCAGTAAGCTCATCCACTCACTCTTTATTGTAAACCACGTATTATCGTACACTAAAGAGCATACCTACATTTCGCAACGATTTCATAAGCTCTGGAAAACTGTACGATACCTGGTACCTACCGAACCCCTCGGAGTAATGAACAAGGACTGCTTGGCGCTGAGTCCGTATTGAATTAGAAYCGGTTGAGCAATGACAAACATATTGCTGGTACTTCTGTCATCCTTTGTGTGCGCTGCGGCGTTCTCGGAGCTGCCCGTGCTGCCATCGCCATCCCCGTCGGTTGCGGGGAGGTCTCCGGCTCGATACCGGATGCGGAATCCGACCCTTTCCGCTGGGCCCAAGCCCGATCTGGAAGAACTGGAACCCGGTGTTTCCGATTCCAACTTTGGACGAATGGCCTACTGGGACGAATCGTACGCCCCGCAATCGTCGGAGTCCGGACCAAGCGAAGAACCAAACGTCTTTTCGTGGTACTGCGGCTGGGAGGACGAGCTTGGCCCCTTTTTCGAGGAACTGGTGCCCGACAAGGAGTCTCTCGTGCTGGTTCCGGGGATCGGAAACGACGTGGCGATCCGGGACATGTTCGACGTTGGTGGGTACCAGCGGCTGATGGCCTTTGACTACGCCCCGCAGGGGGTCGAGTGTGCCAGGGCCATGTTTGGAGAAGACCGTCTCCGGACCATTTCCGAGCGCCTKGGRCGGGGGCGGCAACCGCCGCAAACGRAAGATACGGAMRGGAACGGAGTGCTCCGGGTGTGCGAYGCCCGTGATTTGTCGTCGGAATACGGCGACAACACCTTCGACGCCGTCCTGGACAAGGGGACCTTCGATTCCATCTATCTGTCGGGAGGAAAAGACAAGGAGAAAGCAAGGGCCAACCTGTCCATGGCCGTCGCCGAAATGAAACGTGTGGTCAAGGAAGACACCGGGATAATCTTTAGCGTCACTGCCGCTTGCGTAGATGCCGTCCGGGAAGCCTTCGACAGCGACGAGGATTGGCACCAGCTGCGCGATGGAAGCATGCACATCACCGAGGACGGTTACGCCAGCAACAACGTGGACGCCACCATGCTGGCGTGGCAATTRAGGAGGGGAAGCACGGGTGCAGCCGCAACCTAGGACCGATCGCGTTGTGAGGCTCGCGCAACCGGGCCAATCGAACCAGCCACRAATGTATAGAAATTGTACCACTAATAACAATCGCAGTAGAAATAGCTTTGGTTTAATACCTAGGATCGTTCGTGCCASAGAGCACGGCGGATTTCGGGTTTTGCACTACACAAAGTAGTCCGAAACGAGGACTTCTTCCTTGCCGCTCCCCTTGTGCCGGACGCGGATTCTTCCGTCCGGCAAGACGTCCACCAGCCGGACCGTTTTTCTTCGGCTCTGGTCCGCATCGTTGTCGTTTCGCAGGGTCAACTCGGCGTCCCAATCGAGCCATCGCTTCCATCCCTCGACGATCGACTCGGCCGTTCCATCCTTCTCGCTTGGATCGTTTTGTATCCACCGGTGGATTCCGAGGGCGAGCCCAACGCCGAGGTCACGGGCGTGTTCGATTTGGGCGGCTTCGGTAATAGCGTCGTCGTCGCTTTGTTGTTGTTGTTGTTTCTGCTGCTGCGGGCCACAGTACTCGTGGAGGCTCACCGAGGGACGGCCATAGTCYTTCCCCGTCGTGGGAACGGTGGGGGCGTGCGCCACGTTGATCCCGATCCCGACCAGAAACCAATCGCTGGACGATTCGATCAGGGTCCCGGAGATTTTCTTTCCGTCCACCAGCACATCGTTGGGCCACTTGACCGTGACCCTGGCAGGCCCCGACGCGTCGCCCACCACCGCAGCGCAGTTCTCGTCGTCGAGTTCCGACYGCACCAGCGAAGCCGTGAGGTCGCCGATCTTGAGCGGGAGGAGCGTCAGGGGAATCCTTCGCTCCCGGAGCATCGTGGTCATGTAGGTTTGCATCGGGAATCCAATCGTCACAAAGACGTTTCCCGGTGCCCCGAGCCACTGGCGACCGGTGGTCCCCCTGCCACTGGATTGGGAGGCGGYCGTGACACAAAAGGTGGAAACCGAAGAGGAAGATTCATTTTCCGATAGGCGTTTGGCAATTCGCTTGGCTTCGTCCTGGGTGGAGGTCGTCGAGTCGTAATGAAAGAGCAARAGCTGATCCTCCTCCGGATGGGGCGTGCCCGAGTTGYTGCTAGCGTCCGCCTCGCACGTCGACTCGWTGCCGYGATCTCGTGATTTCRCACTGTTATTGCTCTTGTTGTTGTTCTCGTYCTCGCTGGTTTTGTCGKCTGAAGGGTGCGACGCCTCTGGATGAAAGGCGTCGGMAAACAACGCAGAATAACCGCTCATGGTTGGAAGYAGCAACAAACCGCCCCAGTTKCCCGGTAGATGCAATCYTTGAMSACCGCGACACGACCGACCCCGGCCYGCTCGAAAAGCGTTTCTTGTTCCGTAGCGGGGAACAAGGCCACTTCCACCGTGTTGTGTGCCGAGAACCAGAAGGATCAGCACCGACCASGCCGCGTTGACCAACGAMAGGGGCAGGGACGAAACCGAKAACGGTGTYACAGTGSCTGYGTCAGAAKGCGACTTTTTGAGGCCTTGTTCGCGGTGAGATCGCCTAAGATTKTTACTGCCTCCGCAGCTGWYCCCRCCGGCTGGCATCTGACAAAAATCGGAACGAAGGTTGTTGTTGTTGATCACGATGTTGCTTTTGGTGATATTGATGCAGTTTGTGACGTTTTTGTTGATCCCAAAAGCCCTATAYGAGTCTTCTCTTCCCCAGAGAAACCGATTCGGTGGCAACGGGTAAGAGTGGAYGSCTGCGATTGGAAGAATCAGCGGAAWCGACCGGCTGCACTCCTCGTTCCGGCTGTTGTTCGGAGGACTTTGCAAGCTGATCGAAGCCCGAGACCTTGTACACCAATCCAAGAGAGGAGACGCCCACTGTRCCAAATTCTTTACTTTTGTAGGTTGACGTTGATAGCGATGAGAGTGATGGAAAGGGAAATTCTTCAGGGTTGACCGAAGATGAACCATGGACCATTAGTCGTATTGTTGATGGACGAATATGTTGCGAATGATAGTGTTAGTGCGAGAGTAAATAAATCAGGTTTGTGTTGACCGAGAACCTGACTTTTTCGATCATCTCTTCGAATAGTAGTATCGTACCGTACGGTACKTACGTTGTAGTTGTGCGGTACGTAAGGTATGTAAAATGTAAAAGGCATGCCAAACCACATCCATACGTACGGTACGTACTASAGTACGTACATACCGGTAGAAGAAAATGACATGGATGAATTTTTTTGCGTTTTACAATACTACTGGTAAGAGAAGAAATTATGATCATTACAAAGTACTTCGCTATTTCTACTAAAGCGCCTTAAAGTGCAACTCTTACTAGCCTTCGCGAAGTGCCACAGCCGGGAGGCGTTCTGGAGGTGTAAAAATGAACGGTCGATTCTCAGACATGGAAGGAATGAAGTATTTCGGAAACCTACCAAAACCGATGCTTGGCTGATCTGATGGTATGAGACTGGTCAGCAACTCGCAAGGACTTGGCAAACAACCTCGCAGTCACCGCTGGAAGCTTATTTCGCCCCGCAAGGATCCWTGTTTGAATACTAGCAAACTCTTTTGCTCAAACCCAAGYCTTCTGTTCYGTTCACAGCCTCCGACACACAAGGGTCGTCGAGATCCAACAGCTGTCGTATYWTCGTACTTCATTTGACCRATGASGTMGCWTTCTATATTGCTGSTTGTACCACCTTGCGCCACGATYTGAGCRCAAGGTATCATTCATCTCGGGGCAGAGATCAATGTACCGCGTTTGAAGCTCAKTACTTCGTAGTTCACAACGAACACCTCAAACCAAACAGTTTGTGGAACCTCCCGCCCCGGGTAACAACGCGACCAAGGGAGGATTGTTGATTCCCGTGAATCAGYCCTTGGTTTCTTCTGCCAATTCCCCCGGAGAGCRCACCACACAAGTACCTTTCTGGGTTTGCCGAATTAKGTAACTAGGCGTCCTCGGGTGCCGAGGATGTCAACGCTTTTGTCAGCCAATCGAGATAGATAGGCCCAAGCTCTACCTCGTGTGCCACACGAATGGTGATAGACTCGTCACTGCCGCCGCCGTGCTCCGACGACGATGCTTCTTCGTCGGTAGGACTCTGGAGGATGGATTGCTGGTCATTGAAATTGCCATCGACGCTGTCGGCTGTGTTCGTAGTGAATGGAACAGAACCATCTGCTTCTTTCCAATTGGAATCATGGGCGTCCCAAAACACCAGTCTACCGTCAGAATCGACTTTAATTACGTCCTTGGCGTTGTCGCAAGTTCGYTTCGTTGARTATTCTTTCCACCGAATCTTCGGTGGTCTTCGTTCAGCAAAACCATTTCCCCCCTCAMTATTGCTTTCACAGTCGCCATTCGTTTTCGCGCCGACAGCTTTGTTGTTTGGGTGTGAGGTGGAGMTRYACTCGTAGCAATTGTCTCGAACGTAGATACAGATGGGGTCTCCGTAGACAGAATAAGTCCTTGTCTGGATCAGTCGGACAATCCAAGTCGGYAGCAATGACGACACGGTACTCGTAGTCGCTATGGAATCCCTTGTCGTTGTTCTGGCAGATTTTCTTGCATGCGGCTGGCGTARTTGTTGCGTTTCTGGCGGCAGCAAAGATGATTGCAACCAATCCTCAATGATCTTTGCTGCCGAAACTTTTGGCAATGRGTTTGCAACGGTTGGATCACCGGTTCTAGCGTTTTSCTGYTGTTGCTGCTGGTAATGGCSAAGGAAGGACGCTTCAAAGGCACTCCTGTCGCAAACCTCCTGCGGGACGAGGTGGATCGGTATGCCGTGCAATCCCTCGTGAGAGAAGACACGACGRACCGCTTCCGGGTCCCTCGCAAAGTTGAATTCCGCCCGGACGCCTTCCGCTTCGGTGTTTTCGTTCGTGCCGGGGGCCGGAACCGGGAGGTTTCCGCCCAGGATCCACACCGAGTTCAAGCGAYCGGACGCAAAGCCCGGCATCTCTTCGAGCCACCGAGCCAGATTGGTCAGCGGCCCGAGGCACACCAGGTCGATTTGGTCGTGGCCGCCGTGCTTGTCGTCGCGGCTGTTTTCGTTCTCGGTGTTGGCGGGTGCTGCCGAAACAACGGCAGCGGTTGCCTCCCCGTGGTCGGAGGTGGTCACGGTCGTACCGTTGCTGCTGCTGTCGTCGGTTGGAGCGTTTTCGGTTTCGATTTCGGTTTCGGTTTCGTCGGAAACTAGATTCTTTTGCGAGGGGAGAAGAATCCCCTCGGAAGAACAAAACGCCGTGATTTGATCACGAACCGTTCTCAGCCAAGGGGGATCACCGACGGCGTTGCASTCCCGATTGGCTTCGTWGTGACCCYCGGTTCTGGTTCTCGTCTTTCGACCCGGAAGAATTGGAAACGCCACCRGATTCCTACCGGAATSTGTAGAAGCATCACAGCTGCTACCATTCGTTTCTTCACGTTCGATGTTGTTGCTGTTCTCTCTTCCCCCGGTTGGCATCAGCAACCCCGTGAGGATTGCCACCCCATCTAGCGGATCAGAAATTATTCCVGTTCCGACCGTCGAAATCCCGACGACGGGTGAAACATCCGTTTCGTTTCCCGATCCCTTTTCGGCTCCCGTTTCTTTCCCTGGTTCCYCGCTCCCGCCATCCGAGTACCCGTTGCAGCACTCGATCGCTAGCAAGTCGTCAAAGCCTACGTCCGTGTCGATCCAGCACGAAGGATTTCGATATCGGTGCTCGGCCCCGAATCGCGCACGCGCACGATCGCTCGCTTTGCAAGCATTCCCRTCGAGCAGGGAGTGCCGGCCTTGCTGCCGTGCTGCGGTGCGGGTGCCACTYSTTCTCGACCCASTGGCAGAAGAAAAAGGCCCGCTAGAGCTGCTTCTGCTGCTGCCACGGTTGCCCCTGGTGACGGGAAGGCGGTGGGTACATCGCATCCACGAGGAGGGCTCTTGCGAAGGAAGTTGTGAGGACAACGATACCGATGCAGATGCAGATGCAGATGTAGCTGTAGCTGTAGATGCGGTCGCGAATGTGGTTCGGAGCACGCGCATCAATTGTTTCATCATCCGCATCGTGGTTTTTTGTTTTGGAGACTCTGGGATCGAATCTTCTCCACAAAATCTTTTTATGGTTAGTTTCCTACCGTACGGGGTAAGTGACGTTAGTACCAGCTAGCTACGAGGTACGACATTCACCACTACTTCGTACGTCGTCCGTTGWACTGGTACAGGTTGTTAGGAGAGTGAATCCCGGATGAATACGAGTATTGCGTGAACATAACAGGTAGCACGAGTACAAAAGGTATGTTACTCGTACTCGTACTACTCGTACGAGTACTCGAACCAATGAGTTACTTGTATCTGTACGAAGCAAGTCGTACCGTACGAGCTCGTACCGGCAACCTAAGATCAGTCATTCTTTTTCAAAATCTGTCCGGTCTCGGGCTCTCGTTGTTGTTGTCTTGTCGTGCAATCCAGGACACATTTATTCCGTCCCTAAACTTCACACGGATACGGAACACTTCAACGACCACAATGGCAGCTACTATTCCACCTACWTGCGACAACGATGGCGATACCGTTCTGGTCCATCTGGTATTGACGGGAGCATCTGGTTATCTGGGGCAGCACTTGCTTTCCCAGTGGATCACGAAAGGGCTTGGACTGGAAGAAGAAGAATCGCCGGGTGCCCCGAACAGAAAGTACAAAACAAAAATCACGGCCCTCTACAACCGGTCCGAAGGATTTCCCGGTGCCGTCGAAAGATTTTGCAGCAAATCCCAAAACAAGGGTAGCGGCCGGGGCGTATCCGACGTRGCGGTCCGATCGATCGATCTGACAAATGCCGACGACGTCCGATCCTTCGTGGAGTCGTCGCTGCTCGCCGAAGACTCGAGTCCGGGACACAAAACGACGGTTTTCAACGTGGTCGTTCATTCCGCCGCGCTCTCGAGCCCCCGCGTGTGCCAAGAAGACCCCGATCGCGCCAGGGCCGTCAACGTTCCCAGGGATTTCTTCGATGCGGTTTTGGGAACGGCATCGGCCTCGCGGCGCACCGCCATTGTGGCCCTGTCCACCGACCAGGTGTACGACGGAACCCGAAMSGAGGCCTTCTACACCGAGACGGAAACGAAGGGACTGGAGCCCGTCAACGCCTACGGGCAAACGAAGCTGGAAATGGAGAAGCTCTTGTTGCGGGGGCGGGACGATTCGCCTATGGGCGACTGCTTTGCCCTGAGGTCGAGCATCATTCTCGGACCCCCCGCCCCGATCGATCCGGGCTGCGCCCACGGAACCTTTCTGGACTTTTGCAGGTCGCGGGGGGAGACAGAGAMCCCCACGACCTTTTTCACCAACGAGTACCGATCGGTGGTCCGCGTGGATCGTGTTTTGGACACCGTCCGGGGGATCGTCGTCCGCCGGGTGTTGCTCGGACGGTCCGGCGACCGCGGAGAGAAAGCAGCGGCACGGGTGGTGTACAACATGGGGGGACCCTGCCGGGTACACCGGCTGGACATGGCAAGGGCGGTCTTTGACAAATTCGGATACGATCCCAAATTGCTGCTGGCGACGGACCAGACGTCGCCGCACAGCCCGCTGGATATTTCCATGGACAGCTCGCTYCTGTTCCGCCACGGCATCCTAGCCGGCAGCGACGACAAGACGCAAGGGCTTGCAACAGAATCGTACCTGAAGGCACTGGTCGACTATGCGTTTCCCRWTGGAGAGAAATAGCGGGGTGATGTTGCAGTTCGATGAAATGTCCTGTTTGGGAAAGCATAGGGAAAACGAAGKATGTTCGGAAAAGAAAATCGAATTAAAYAGACTGCTGTTCCTTCCAAACTTTGGTCCACTTCGCAAGCGTACAGRAGTGATAGAGTCCATTTTTTTTGTTACGAAAGYRATACTTGTTGSCGACGAAATCGACCTAAAATCAGCGCCTTCGGAATTCTTTTTTTCAAATACAGCCAGGGTTTTTGCAGGCTAGAACCGCAACGGCGTATCATCGATCCAATACCGTATTTTGGTCCTCGGTAGGAACGGTACAGCTGTTGCCATTCCTACCGGCATGGAGTTAACAGCRGAAGGAGTCTCCAGATAACGCATCATTGAGAACAATGCACTATACAGGCATTCAACTTTCGGTTCGCATCAGACCCACCAGTGACACAGCTAAGCTCTTGTACCATTTCCTAGGACAATGCAGTCCCATGAAAGGCCATCATTGTCTATTTCGATAGGCTMAACTAGGCACTATCAACCTAGCAAAAAGATCTGTATCCAATGAGATCTCCACTTATTTGGCTCCTTAACCCCATGCGCAAAACGGGATTGGTTTCGAGTCGACAACTTATTTAGATAATCTTTTATTMATAGGTCGTGTTATCTARWAAATTATACCATATTGTAATCGAAGAAAAAGATTTCATATAATCCATGGTGCGAGTCTTAAGAAATCCAACCTCAGTACTAGTAATATCTGAAGCACCGACTGAAGTTCAAATCCCTYGGTGTTGCATCTAGCATTGCACGTCAATAGGCTTTGTTTAATGYTGAACGGCAAAGCAGTTTCTTTTGCTGGGTTGAAAGATGAATGTTYTACGAATTGCACGCTGGATATTCTTTTCCTCAGTCAAATCTCTTCTACATACAGCATGGTAYACGCACGCCTTTCYKYTAGAGTTCCATCGCACCGATCAGGACGGTATTGTGCCGCAAAGAAGTGGTTGTTTCTATTCTTCTTATTTCTTTCTTTGAGTCAAGGGCATTTGCCTCGTGTTGTCCTCGCGTGTCTTGTTTTTGTCGTGTCGCCAAGGCTCTCCCTCTCTCCCACAATGTATGTATTCTGCTCATTTCCTCCGTCGCAAGCGCAGCGAAGGAGCGCTTGGTTTATTCGTCGTCTTCGTCCCATTGGTTGTCCTTCCGCCGGATTTCGGTGATTCCCGAAATCGTGGTGGCATCTTCCCTCGCATCGCCCACCACCTCGACGTCTACGATGTTTGCATCCCCGTCGCTGCTGCCGAGCAGGCACGCCGCGACGGCGGCCAGCAGGTCGGAAAATCCCAGTTCCACGGCCAGCTYGTCCAGCAAGTCCGGTCGCTCGGCCAGGCCCAGATTTCCACCGTCGGCGCTTGCTTTCTGCTCGTAGGCCTCCCACTTTGCGGCCGGGCACACGCCGGTGTTTTCCTTCAGCACCTGGGCGGCCCGGGCGCCGACGTCGGCGTTCAGGGCCGCGATGAGTTCGGGTCGATCCTGGAGCTCTTGATCCGGTGCCAGCATGTCCTGGTACTTGTCCCAGAGGTCRGGCGCCAACCTGGCACCCTTGCAGACCTGCTCCAACCGATCGGCCTTGCACTTGTTCAGGAGCAATCCCAGTTCGAACATGAGGTCCGGCCGGTCCTTCATCTCCTGGCCGTCCTCCAGCTTGGCGAGGTACTCGTTCCAGGTRTCGGGAATGATTGCGGTGCACTCGACCTCTAGCTGCTGGGCGCCGGCGGGGACAAGGACCGCGGCGGCAATGTAGGTGAGGCCGGCCAGCAAGAAGGCAATGGCCGTGATGCCCAGGGCAATGTTCTGGACCAATTCTCCAACATTGGAGTTGAAAAGACTGGATGGATTGGGAACACCGGCAGTGGCTGCCGCAGCTGCTACTGCTTCGGGATCGAGGGAGACATCCGAAACCAGGAAAAACTGATCGAGAGACGGARACGAAGAAGCCGAAGTGGTTCCGATGCTGAGTTTTAGCTGGGCCGTGTTTGCGATGGTGCTGTGCGTGGGCAGAAACGCTGACGCCGCCGGAAGGAGGAGAACCCACGCCAGTAATCTCAATRATACCATGACAATGATAGGTCGAAGKTCGCAACGGGAGCTCGATCGAAAAGCTTTAGGTTCGATTCAGAATGCAGCAACGCCTTTCCAAKGGAGATGTCTTTTTTTTGTTCAAGAATGGTTGACACTTTGCGTTCACTTCGTGGTACTGGTAATCGTTCCGGGCTATATTCATTCATGAAAGTTCCTCTCTGACACCTCTCCACATTAAAGATACCGTTCAATGACTACCATGTCCTCATGGTATGATCTATACCATACGATAGATACTATAGAATCGAATATTGGACGCAATAAAGAATAAAGAAAATGGAGGATTTTGGATTTTAGGGATTGATGAATTCTTGGGGAAAAAACAAAAAACCTGTGCTCGGAGACTACTGCTTACTGTCAATCTGACGTCACAACGATGACTTATGAATCCCGAACAGAATTAAATCGGAAATCGATCGATCTGTTGATAGTTTTTAGCTGAAGATTCTGGCGGGTGAGCCCAAAAACTACAGGAAATGCTAGAAGTAATACCACGACACCGATTATTACTACGTGTGTTTTCACATCTCAACAGAAGAGAAGAACAGAACAAAATATYGCACAGCACTACCCATCACACGACGGAATCTCCTAGAGTATAGCAGTCTCTCTGGATTTGTCGTTGCATAGTTGCGCAGAAGCAATCTGTCTTTGCCTCGAACCGAGGAGTGTTTTATCGCTAATTCAATATATGATGATGGCTTCGCGATTCGTGTGGCCGGCAACACAACTTTTGTCACTAATATGTATAATCGGAGTGTCTGAATCCTTTGTGCCGACTTCCACTATTCGTGGCGGTCGCATCGTTAGCAGCAAGAAGTTGCTTCAACTGCCGGATCTACCTTTGTCCGTAGTACGCAGCAGAAACCAGTTCATCCTTCGATCTGCCAACAAGGAGGAAATCGACGATGAGGCTGTTGACACAGAGGCTTCGGATGCAGACGAGCCATCAGCAACAACCGACCAAAAGAAGAAGGCGAAAAAAGAAGAGTGGAACACGTCCCTGTTCCCGGCCAAGATGTTTTACCCACCGCCGGAAGTCACCATTGAGGACGGCGGGGTATCTTCCGACAGCACCGATGGAAGGACTACCGGTTTTCGCGCGGGCACCARAAAGCTCATCCGGCAGCTTTCGTCAAAAAARAAGACAAAAAATATTTCACCATCCGAGGTCTATGACGAGCGAAAATTTCGGTTGCAGATTCGGATACAGGGTCTTGCAGCGATGGTGGGATTGTTGGCCGGGGTGGCCGTGAGTGGATTCAAAATGGGAATCGAAACCGTCAAGGAGGTCTGCTATACACATGGCATCCCCGGACTCACAAGTGGCCCRTTGGTTTCTTTCGTGCCGGTTTTTGCCATTACTACGCTCGGAGGTATCGCCGTGGCTATTCTGGCGTCTCTTGGCTCCTTTCCACCCGGAGTGAGAGGGGAGATCGATGAGGTGGACGACGCATCTCTTGCTTTTTTTGACGAGCTRCATTACCAAGACGAGGACGACTCTGTCAGCGAAGACACATGGGAAAAGAAGATGGAGCGATTCAACCCACTGTACGCCTTTGGGTTTGTCCGCAAAGCATTTGCCTCCATTTTTACCCTGGGTACAGGCTGTTCTCTAGGTCCGGAAGGACCTTCTGTTGAGGTTGCCATGGCAATGAGCCGTGTTTGCATGTTCCTTTTCCCACCGGAAACGACCAATGTCGGTGGCCTTACCGAAGACAATTTAGACGGTAACAGTTCCAATGCTGTATCTTATAAGTATTCCAAGGAAGATGTGCAAGCGCGAGTTCGTCGAAACCGCCTTTTGCTGAGTTGTGGTGCGGCAGCAGGTGTTTCGGCCGGGTTCAATGCCCCCCTGGCGGGTGTGTTTTTTGCACTAGAGGTCGTCCAAGCAGCGTTACCCTCTTACACCATCCCACAGTTGCCGTCGGGTGTGGCTAACGATGATTCTTCCAAAATCATTGAATTGGAGCAAGAATCACTTTCGGCAGAACCCTCGAGCATCACGGCGATCTTGATAGCATCCGTGGTATCGGGACTGCTGGCAAGAGTCCTGCTTGGAAACGAACTAGCGCTCTCTGTCATTAGCTACGAGATCAAGACTCCGCTACTGGAACTCCCATTGTATCTCCTCTTGGGAGCCATGTCTGGTTTGGTTGCCGTGACGTTTAGTCAATCGGCCAAGCTCGCAAAGCGGACCTTTGATGGAGAGGCGGGTCCYGGACCCGTGAAAGAGGCCTTTGGGTCGCTCCCTAGTTTTTCTCGTCCCATCCTCGGGGCGTTAACGTGCGGTATAGTCAGTATTTTCCGCCCCGAGGTCTTGTTCTTTGGCTACGAAACCCTCAACGGTTTGCTCAGCAACAACACCATCCCCACACTAACCCTGCTGACTCTGCTTGGAGCAAAGATTTTCACGACAGCTGTTTCCGCCGGAAGCGGATTGGTGGGTGGAACCTTTGCACCGAGCTTGTTTTTGGGTGGCATGTGCGGAGCTTCTTTCCACAATATCGTGGCGTCCATCTTTCAAGCCTTTGACTCTGCCGGTGTCGGTAGTTCTCATGTTTTCTTCCCGGGTATCGTGTTCCAACTCGCGGACGTCCCTGCGTATGCCATGGTAGGAGCCGCCAGCACACTGGCAGCCCTATTTCGGGCTCCCCTCACCGCCTCTTTGCTTCTCTTCGAACTAACCCGAAACTACGATATTCTTATCCCGCTGCTAGCCAGTGCCGGTGTGGGCAGCTTAGTGAGCGACATCGTCGAAAGCAAACTGGAGGCTCGAAATTACAAATAAGCATGATCCTCCCATCGCCTTAATACGACAAAGATATATTACATTTTTGTGACTTTCGTGGTGCTGTAGTTGTAGTAAAAATATTATACATGATTCAGTCGAGAGTAGCTAGAATTTGTTTTGTTCATCCACCTTGATCATTTTGTCTCTTATGATTATGAAAATGGTTGGTGTATGAATCAATCATCAAGAGTCGGTTTCCAATTAATCACTGTCATTTTTCCAAAAAGATGGAGTCAATTCTTCAGGAAATCCAATAGGGTGCCTAAAGGCGTTCGGAATGTGTTGGTCGCTTTGGAAYGGTTTATCGACAAATCGAATAGCGCTGTGCGGAACATCGAAGTCTACATACTTTATTTGCTTTCCATCTTCTGAATCAGTCTCTTCTTCGTCTGGCCACAGTTGCACTTGGTAGAGGAATGTCTTCAAACTTTCATCATAGCTTCGCGTCAAAACACTACACTCGGCAAGGTTTTCGGCCCAAAACTTGGTCGGCTTCCACTTCCGTCGAGCCTTGCGATTGTCCGAGATATCGGTGTTACAAACCATCATGAGATTGTCAGCATATGGTTTTGTTTCTTGTTCCAGCTCTGTCCGATAGGGCTTGATGGGGTCTCTATGGCGGCTCATTTCGTCCGCGGGATACACGTAATGGTTCTTGCTAGAAACATAGGGCTTCCAATTTTTMACATGTTGCTTCCAGGCTTCTTCCCATTCGGTTCCGTAATCGATAAAGATCTCTTCTCCTTCCAAAATATCCCGGAGAGCCACAAAATCTAAAATGAGCGAGCCAGGGTATTGCATCTTCCAAAATTGATCGAGMGAAAAGGATGAGTCAAGCCACTGCGTGCCATGGTTCATGTGGTGATTCGACCATCGAAGTACGGCATTGATTTTTCCCGACTTTTTGTTCGCGTGATTGATCAAACCAACACCGGGACCGTATGGATATAATAGCAGTGTACTCCCTTTCGGCTGAAACGCATAATTAACAAGGAGTTGATCATTTTCGTATTTAATGTCTAGAGCCTTCTCGCGTCTTTTTCGCTCCTGATCAGTCGGGGCCATGAACTTTGATCGATTTGGATACATCTGCAGCGGTGCCGGCGCAATTACACTCCCCTTCTCAAGGAATCGTTTCGCAAAGGCACCCCGTCCCATACTCGGATCGGTTGCCAGCTTCACCTGTATGTTGTCGGCACACATCCCGTGCTTTTGCAACCATTCTGGAGATCTAATCGGTGGCGGAACGAGTTCGATGCCGAGCTCGGATCGTCCGTCGTTCTTTACTTCATCGAGTGCATATTGATCTCCYCCGTGTCCGCTGTCCCACAACATGAGTTCCGAGCCGGGCAACAAATCTCGAATAGCTACCGATGATGCACCGTAATAGTGGGTAATGGCCCCAGCCCCGGGATCCCTCGAACGATCCAAGCCTCCATTGGTGTGTATGAGGCCAGCCTTGGCATCCGGACGGGCACTCGCATATTCTTTCATCCCCATGCTGTTGAATATCGTAACCAATCCCATACACGCGGCCCTCACTTCTCGCCGTCCTCCCAACCACTGGGCACCGAACCGAAAGGATTGCCACGTGTGTGTGTCGATCTCCGTTCCCTTTGATTGCCTAGCATYAGTGAGGTAGATGCAAATATCTGGCCAGCCTTGCGCTTGGTCTCCTTTAKYGAGTGGGAGAGTCGTAAAGACTCCCAAGCCACCTCTAGGAATTGCACTCTCGGCCAAGTAAAAGTCACATAACACATTGTTTTGGTGTTCCGGTTCAGCACTACCACTGAGAGTACTTCTGTGTATATCTGTCGTAGACGACGGYAACGACGACCGCAAATAATATGAGTTCGAATATGTGTCATCGAGTGGAGAAAGAAGCAATGATGTCATTTGAATGCGATCCACTATGCAGTACAAGATGCCAGATGCGGCAATGGTGAAGAGGATGATACGCCGCCGCATCTGTGGATCGCGCATCCACCGAAGTGCTACTACATTGCAAACCCGTCCTCTGCGATTTCCCTTCATCGTCGCCTAACGATACGTCACTTTATCTACCGTTTGTGTTCCGTGCTTTCTTGTCTCCGTCTAAGCCTGTATTTGTGACTTCAGGTGTTGTGTATGTGTATGTGAGAGAGAGAGAGAGAGAGAGAGAGATTTGGCTCGAAGACGTGAGAAGCTGCAAGCAGACCCTTTTAGGATGCAATTGGTGTGACAACGAGCTTGATCACGAAAGTGACGGTTTCCCATACGTTAATGAAGGCACGCGAGGAACATGTGTACTATTCTTTTACATGTAAAATGGTCTTCGCTTTCTGCTTAATTGTTCGTGCTTATTCTGTAAGTACCAATTTAAATGTTCGAGGAGGCACGCATTCCCGCGGGAGCTCTTTTCGAAAATCTTCGAGTTTATTTTCGAAATTAGAACGCAACGCATGTCTRAGAGACTTTGATCATTTTTTACATATTTTATGCCTCCGATGTGCGCGCTTCACACATACTATCTCGTTATATGATTAAATGATAGGGCACATGCTATTCCAAATATGCAATTGGGAATAATGTTTCAATCATCCTATAGTTAAGCCCATGTCAAAAGGATATTTTGGAGCCARTAAATTATGAAAACGTACATTGTTAGGACTACCATACCGGTAGGGTGTAGACGTAGCCAACGTCAGTACAGTACAGTACCGTACCTTACAGGAAGAACTTTTCGTTCGATTTAGGCTCACAGTATGGTACGTACGTACTCGTACTTACCGTACCGTGTGGTTCCGTCCCTACTGTTTCGAAGAACGATCGGTCCCCCGAAGATGAAAAATACAAAAATCAATTTTTCCCCCTTTAGTCATGGTCATGAAAATGCTGTTGGCAAGAGATCGTCAATCCGCAATTCCAAGAAAATCCAACACATSATGCAAGAAAGGAACAAAGCGAGACGTTCGAAGTTGAAAAAGTGGTTCCAATAAGCGACAAAGACATCTTTTATACCGAACGTTACCGTAGCAGTGAAATTTCRAATAAAAACTCGCAACAGAAATGAATAAGAAATCAAGGAGGAATACAGGCACGTTGCTGCCTTTCAGTGCCAGAACTTTTCTACAGCATTCGGTGTTACTATTGGCAATAACACTTTCGTGGCCGAGGTACTCGCATTTGCGAGCAGACGGCTTTGCTTCTCAGGCAGTAGCACGTCCCCATCTTTYTTCAATCGCAACTACGCCGAAGACACCGGTATCATCTGACTCGGTGCTTTTCAACTATAACAACGATGACAATGGCGATAATAATAAGAACGATAAGAGCTTRGTCGATTTTGAATTGCTCTCGAGACGATTCGAGAGAGCCGATAAGACCCTGATCCGCGACGAAGCTACGCTCGTGGCCTGCTACGTTCTTTGCCGGTTTTTAGTTTATGACATTTCGTCGGGGGCCAAGATCGAACCGGGCTGGGAAATACAGGATTTCATCTGGCTGACCGGAACCTTTTCATCGGCAACGGTGCTGGTGATCTATTACACCGTAGCGGGCTTGCTCAGCCGGTCCTTCGAGGAGCAGCCAGACTATCGATCGTGGACTTCGATCGACGACGGATCGGATTCCAAAGACCCGAGCTCGTCCGTCGTCAAGGCGGTCGTAAACGTGGTGCTCTGCTGTCCGATTTGGTTGGCAACGGAACATTTGTTKGGGTTCGGGCCGGCCGACATCGGGGGAAACACACTGAGCGTAGCCGTTGCAACAGGGTTCCTTGGATTTGGATCGTTCATGGCATTGGCGAAGATTCTTACCGCAGGAATGAGATGACACTAGAGGAGGACAGAATAGAATACGGCGCGTGCTAAGGTGTCTGGGTGAGGGTGCCGATAGATRCGAGGTACTGTACGRTCAGATTAATCTAAGGTTGATGGYGTCGTGGATAAAATAACATTGAATTCACCGTTATTCTSTTCRATCTTAATCACACGAAATAGCAATATTTCAAGTCTATCGACGACGTTTTCCATTTTGTTCCAAATTCGTTTTAGAGGAAACAACAAAAATTAGTTCTTGCCTGAACTCGACAGCGAAACCACCTTCTAGCTATCGCATGCATTCTTGGGGTTCATCCCGACATTTTTTTCTCTTTGGCTTCGGTGTTTTGGTCCTGTTCGAGCTGGTAGAKTTTCCATAGGAGATTTTGCTGGATCCACGGCTCGCATACTGCCGCAATCTGCATCTGCTCCTCGAGACTAAAATACTTGACGCCCCGAAAACCTCCCTTYGCCCTGGACGAGTGGCAATTGGGACTGCCACAAATGCAGTAAAACCACGGTTCCGATTCCCCATATTCACCGTCGTAATTGTCACTTTCCTCCCACACATGTTCGGTTTGTCCAAGGACCGCCATGGCGTCTCGGATTTCTGGTCGGATACCGTGAAAGTAAGAATTGTGWTYRTCCATTATATCTGCGTCTTCATCCCAGGTTCGTTTGGTGTAGCCAAGAAAAGTCGCAGCATTTTGTTGTTCCTCGGACAATTCCTTCCAGTCCAAATCGTCAATGGAAGTCACCGTCGAAGAAGAGGCGAATGATGCATCATCATCTTCGTTCATTGTTTCGAAAGTATTTTGACTCTTGTGTCTCGTATCCCACGTTTCGTTTGTGTGACCAGTTAAACGAATAACCGCTTCGCGTTCTAAGGGTGTGAGGTGCTTCCACCTCTTTTGAAATATAGGTGGGTCCTTTGCATCCTCCCAGAGTTTCTTTGAGTACCCCAGAACTCGACCGGCCCATTGAATCCGAGGTGGCAATKTATCCCAATCCCAGCGTTCAGACGCRGATTCATCTTTATTTCCGTCTCTAAGTTCTGCGCCAAAAAAGTACCCAACGGGGGTTTGCTGGCTGCCGCCGGTCACAAGCACGTCGCCGTTCGACCAGTGCCACCTACTATAGTCGGTAGTAATTTCTTCCCCGGGTAAGAGTTCGCGACGGGTCCTCATTTGATCGCCGGGSTCGCCGTTTTCGTATGCGGCCTGCTTGGATCGAATCTCGTCTTCGATCCAGGACAGGTGTTGTTTGGGCACGATTTTCCGAGACACGTGTTCACAATCATCGGGATGCAAAATGTCGTAYGCAGTTGAGAAWGACCCACAGGCGTGGTTGCTGAAATGTCCCGGAACCTCTAGATCACGATGTTCCACACCACACCTGGTCGGTCGGCGTTTCATTTTTTCAGGAGAATAGTTGGGTTCGCCCAGCCCRCCGATCAATCCCTCATCAAAACTCAAAATCTCGAATTGTCGGTCCGGTGGCAATTTGTAGGTAGGATTGGACGGAGGAGGGACAAATTCRACAACGACAATCTCGTGCTCAAATATTTCCATTYTGTAAAGAGGGTTGACTGCATCGGGAAGTATCTTGTAGTCTGAGGACGTGGTGGGAAGATTCGAGAAATCGGTAAGCGTCGGATACACGCAGGTGGATGCGGCACCAGCACGATCTTTTCCTCGATGCGTTGCATGCCATTCGAGGAATCGTTCGGCAAAGGCCTGTCGCTCGGGTGTCAAACCGTTATCTTCGGATGGCGTTGCCCGGAAGAGTTGTTCGTGGTTGCACGGACCTACGGGAGCCTGAACGATAACCTCATTTTTTACAAAATGWCGATTTGCGTGCATAGAAATCCCCATGCCATCTCGGATCTGGAGTTTGTAGTCCTTGGTTTCCGTATACAGCTGGATGCAATAAACAGTCCATTTTTCGTAARTGCTCTTAAAATAAGGAGCAAAGTGCTTGCCATTCTCGTCCTCGCAGCAATCTCCTGGGATGTCGCTCTCGCCATCGTCGTCCCAAGATGTTCTTGTGTAACCAAGGCGTGTTGCAGCTTCTATCTGAGAAAGAGTCAATTTGTCCCAGTCGATTCCGCAAATTTCTGGCTCTTGATCATTGTTCCACAGTAATTCTGTGTACCCTAGTTCCGTCGCAGAACGTCGAACCGATTCTGGGAGTTCTTCCCAATCGGAGTCGTCGTAWTTGTCGAGAACGAGCACGGCGGCTCCATTCTCGCTCTCGCTGCTGCTGCTGCTGCTACAACTGCAACTATCATCATCGCTGTCATCCCACAGCTCTTCTGTATAGCCGAGRCGTGTTGCCGCCTCTTGTTGCAAATTATTCAGCTTCTTCCAGTCTTTTCCGCAGATTGATGGCTCCCTATCGTTGTCCCAAAGTTTTTTAGTGTAGCCCAGGTGGGCTGCGGCATCTCGCACCCACGCTGGGAGTTCATTCCAATCAGAATCCTCGTGCTGGTCTAGAACTAAAATCGTCATGATTTGGTGCTAAAACAGTGACTTGTGAGRCTCTTTCAAATAGCTGTCACTCTTGTATTTGTTTGTTCTGTGGAGGTTAAGTTCGTWMAAWTTTTTCTTGGCGCTCTTCCAAAACCTGGTATTKGTCTGTGCTACTATGAATTCCTTTACAAAKACTTGCTCATCGTTCTACTATGKAGCATGCCTTGTTCWGTATTCCCGTGCTACCATGGTTTATTCAAAGGGTCCCTGTCTTCACTTATGGTTGGGAACGTGTTCGATGACATTTTCGTTTTACTGTACCGTATTTCAGGTTTTGAATTTTGAATCGGACTCTGAATACTGGTACAATTGAGGAAAACTGAAAACTCCACCAATGCCAACGTAGTACGTAGCGGTTTTCTTAACGGACAAAATTCCTGCCCAAAAA